CTGCATGGAGCAGGTCAAGTAGGAGTTGCTAATTTGGGGTGGGCATGTGTATGTGTGTGGAGTGAAGTAGGGTGTTTCAGGTTGAAGGAAAGTCTGGGCAGAGTCAAGGAGTCAGAAGCAGTAGCCAATTGAGGGAACTAGAAGCAATTCCACATGGCAGACATGCAGGATGGGCTAACAAAAGCTGAGGCTGGAGGACCCCTGTATCTAGCAAAGGAGTTAAGAATTTTAAGCACCAGGACTGGTACTTCTCAAACTGCCTGAGTCTCAAAATCACCAGGGAAACTTATTGGGAAACAGATTCCTGGACCTTACTTCAACCTAGGGAATCAGAGTCTCCATGGATGAGACTCAGAATCAGCTTTCCCACTGGCCTCCAGAAGAGCCTACAGAGGTACTGGTCAAACCAGCCCTCAGGAAGTCCTGGATGAGAGGCCTGGTCTGACATTCTCTTGGGCCTCTACTGGGAAGAAATGAGGAGGGCTCAAGTATAGGTCTTGGTGCCTTGAAGAGCACCTTCAGACATTGCTGCTGGAATCAGCTCTTTCCATGTGCTCCTCAGACCATGTGCCCTGTGACCAAGACAGACAGGCGTGGCCAAGAAATTGGGGTTTCTGGTTAGACAAGCTCCTTCAGGGAAGCAGGATGGCGAGGCGTCCCTTCCACCCCATTCCCGCCCCACCTGGCTCTCACAGCATCATCTCAAAGGATCATCTCTCTTCCCTTTTTCATCATCCACATCCCATAAAGCTCCTTATTCAGGCTGAGTGCTCAGAGCATATTGGGGGGAAGGTGGGAAGGAGGGATGAGCTTGTGGTTTCATTTAGGCTGAGTAAAGGAGTCTTCTTGGGACACTGGATTTCCCTAAGTTTTCAAATGGAGGAAAGGGGCTGGGTGATTGCTACTCAGCAGGTATTATGTTCCTCCTTATGTCCTTATGTATCAGACTGTGGTAATGAAACAGTCTGAAACATGAGGACATAGGTGGTTCCCAGGGCCCAGAAATGTGTTGTGTTCAAAGGCTAAGTGGGGTGTAGACCATCTTCTAGGGTATCCCACTTGACAACATGGAGTCCAAGCTCCTCACCCAGACCCCAGAGACCCCATCAGATCACCCCGGCCCTCCTCTGAAGCCTCAATCCTCCCCTGGCCTTTCCCAGTTTCAATTTCACACTTAGTAACACTGAACGAGGGCAGGTTCGCATGTAGATGCCTATGTTTATGCTAATCTCTGCCTGAAATGCCTTCCCCAGAGCCTCCATCTGGCTAACTCCTGCTCAGTCTCCAAGATTCAATTTCCGTAATACCCCTCTCACCCAGCCAACACACAACTCAATCCTGGTGTCCTCCTGAGCCACCTCCACTCCACCCTAAGCTAACTTTATTTTTTTTTAATATTTTATTCTATATAATTCTTACATCATTTTTCATCTTTGCACAATGCATACATTTTCATTTTGGTTATATTCATTTCATTTTGGTTATATTCCCCATACAATTGCATCTCCCCCCTTATTTTGACTCTCGTTCTTCCTCTCCTCGCCCCTCCCTAATCCACCCCCCCAAGTGTGTCTTTGGTTTATAGTTGCCTAAGCTAACTTTACGCAGAACATTTTTGTGCTCGCCCCTCCCCCACACCCACTTGAGCAAAAATTCCTCAAGGGCAGGGCCTATGGTATTACCTTTTGTCTCCCTAGTGCTGGGCACACAGTAGGAGCTCAACAAATATTTGCTGTACCAAACAGAGTGCAGGTGAAAAAGTGCTCTTGGACAGAAGCCATCTAAATTTAACATTCGGAGTATTTGCTTGTTTTTATGACAGGTGCCTTGTGAAGCCTCCATCCCCCTACATCAAGTGCAAAATAACAAATTTAATAAGTAAACTAGAAGTGATCATTTGCATCCCAAAAGGTTGGGAAGCAGTTTTGCTTTAAACAGTAAGCCTTTGCTGGTACTTTCAGAAACTTGCTTTACAGATCATTAACTTCTGGGGGAGGGTCTGGAACAGGAGTCATGGTTTGTTAACTCTCAGAGTCTAGCTTCTGGGGCTGAAAGGAGGAAGCAAGGCAAAAGGTCTCTGCACCAGACAGGAATGGGTTCAGATTCTGGCTATCCTAGCTGTGTGGCTTCTAACATGTAACCTCTCGATACCCTAATTCTTTTATACCTAAAGTGGAGAGACACTGTACCCACTTTGCAGGTTTGTTGAAAAGATCCTATGTGGAGTGTCGGAGTTCATAGGAGGTTCCTAATGTCCCGCTACTGTTATTTGGTTCAACATTGCACATGGAGAAAAGAGTCTTGTGTCTTGGGCCCTAGAAGACTTGCCATTTACTCGCTCTGTGACTTTGGGCAGATCACCTAACTCCACTCCTGGCCTGTAGAAAAGAGACAATCAACAGAACCCAACTCTTAAGGTTGCAATATGAAATAAGGATTGTCAAGTGCAAATCCTAATGCCTGATCACAAATGGTACCAGTTGCTGACTACAAAGTGATGGGGACTGTTACAGGGCAGAAAGAGGACCCCCAAACCTGCCTGCTCTAAATGGGTTCTGCTACATGCTACATAAAAACAAAACATACTCTAGTGCATAATATCTTCAATAAAAAAAACTTTAATACAAGTAGTATGCGATAGAGAGAAGAGAAAGAGAAAGAGAAAGAATATAGTTTCCAAGTCAAGCATCTGAAGCACTCATCCCCTGGTGGATAAATGCCCAGCCAAACAGGGTTGGCTCAAAAGCTTGCCACACATTTAAGGCATGTTCTGGTGGGGAACATGCCTGGTAGAAGGGGCCAGGCAAGTCTGGAAGAAAAAGAGAAAAATCAGAATCAAGAGAAAGACTGCAATTGTTAACCTCCTCATAGGTCTCTTTCAAGTGTCTCCTTTCATGTCCCCCAAGTCCCTGGTCCAAGTCCAACGCCAAGAAGCAACCACAGCTGCTTCTCCACGTGTCTCTGCTCCATGTACCTCCTCCAAGTCCTCTTCTCATATTCGTAGGCACGTGGGATCGCTGGCTCGGAGGCGGGGTAGAGTTCTCTCAGGGCATTCTGTTCCCTCAACAGGACTAATAAGCAGAGAGTGGGTAGTGCCCTGTGGGAGGAGCTGCGTGCTCTGGGAATATGGACTGGGGATGGGATGGTCCCAAGAATATAGCCCCACTTAGAGATTAAGTCACCGGAGCTGTGGGACCCAGGGCCAGCCCTGTAACACAGAGCATTATCCCTGGACACTCAGGTTCCCAAGTTACCCCAACGTTAAAATCTTATGTGTAGATACACAAAGCTCCCCAAACAGCTGCTCTCAGGCCTGGGTGTTCTTGTCCTGCCCAGATATTCCTTTTCCCCCACCTTCTGTGGGGTACTGCAGCTCTCTCCAGAGACAGGCCTTCCCAAACAGCCTTTCCCTCTCCCCCCTGCAGGTACTCAGCACACTGCCTGGCTCTTTATGCTGCTGTGCCTGTCATCTATGGTGACTGAATTGCACAAGTACAGTAAGCAGAGAAGCCCCGCTTGAGAGTGACACTCGGTAACTGAAGCAAACACCACCGGGTACTTTCCCTTTGTAGAAATTTCTGGAATCTCTTGGGTGCTCTTATGGTTTCCTGCCTTTTGTGGGGAAAAAACCCACTTTGGAGGGGAGTCCCTGGTGGCGCAAGGAGTTAAGCACCGCACTATGATGCAATCCGCAGCCAGTGTAGCACAAGTTCGATCCCTGGCCAGGGAGCAAGTCACATGGCGAGCAGACCTCTCCTGTCTCGCCTGCTGCTCCCCTCAGCAGTGTATTTCAGTCAGGCTGCCTGTTCTGTCCCCACTCTGTCTCTGGTGAATCCTCTCACCCCTCCTCATCTTGTATGCATACATAAATAAATGTTAAAAAAAAAAAAAAAAAACTTTGGAAATAGGCAAGCCTTCCACAAGGAGAAAGGTCGGATGGGTGGTTTGGGGCAGTTGCGTGTAAAAGCCCTCGCTGCTGTGTCCTCCCAGATCTGAAAAAGTGCCAGGGTCTCTCCAGGAGTCCCCAGAACCCTGAGGACTGGTCCCTACGCAAGGTGACTGCCAGCAGCTCACCGGAGGAGAGAATGGGGGACCCACAACCACCCCGGGTTATCCTCGTGCCTCCAGAAAGCGCAAACAGCCTCGACCACCGAGGAAACCGGTCCTAGGCCTATGGGTGGGAGGGAGCGCGAGCGCCGACGCCTCTGGAAACTAGCAGAGGGCCTTCCTCAGCCTCCTCCCGGGGCCGGGCCTCCTCTCCCAGCCTTGGGGGTGTAGCATTACAAGCATTTCCGCGAAACTGGGGGAAAACGTGGTGTTTTCTTGGTTTTTGCTCGCGTTGCACCCCGGCCGGGCCCGCACGCACCTCCCCGGGCGCCCGCAGCGCGCGTCTCGGCTCCACAGCCCCGGTTCGCGCCCCAGGGGTGGGCGCCCGCGCCCGGAGACCTCGCGCCGGGCCGTGGTCCCCAAACTCCAGCCCCGCTCCTCGCCTGTCCTCCCGCCGCCCTGACGTCTGGGGGCCACGGCTCCCTCGCCGCCGCGCCGGGGAAGCGGCTCCGCGGCGCTCGGGCGTCCGGAGACCCGGGGCGGCAGCCGGCGCGCGGGGCCGCGGGGCGGAGGGGGCAGGTCCCGGCTTCTCCAGCCCCTTCCGCTCCCCCCCTCCACAGCCCGCGCTCGCCCGCTCCTTCTCCTCCCTTCCCGGCCCAGCAGGCGCCACACTGGGCCTCTCCCTCAACGGCGAAGGCGTGAGCTAGCAGCCGCGGCCACTGCCCTCCCCGCCCGCGCCCGGCCCGGCCCGGCGTCCCCTCCCCGCGGGGCGGCTGCGCGGACGGGACCCCTCCCGGAGCTGAGCCCGGCGGGCGCCCTTCTTCGGACCCCGACAGCGCGTGCCCGAGGGGCGAGGCCTGAGGGACGCCTCCCTGGAGTGACCCCCCACTCCCCCCCCCCCCCCCCCCGCCTCAGGCTGGAAGCTGGCCTGGCGGGGCCGGGGCGCCGGAGGAGGGCCGCGCCCCTCCGAGGGATGGAGAGGACGGAGGCCGCGGGCGAACCTGCCAGCGGCTGCCCTCAGTGAGTATGGGGGGGCGAGGCGCCCTGCAGGTCCGGCGGGGGTGGCGGGAGCGCACAGTGGGGAGTCCCGGCCGGTTCCCCCAGCCGGAAGGGTCGTGGGGAGGCTGCCCTTCACGTCCATCTTTATTTCAGCGTTCCCGGCTTGGGCTGCAGAAGCTCCAAGCCGAACCCCTCTGGGGAGATGGGTTAGCCTTGGGGCGCCGTTCCAGAGTTGACGCGTCAACAAATTCCCTTCATTTAACTGAAATCGCCCCTGTTGTACCCTAACTCCCTGCTTCCTGGGTTCAACCTTAAAAGAGCGGGGTCGTGACCGGGTGGCAAGAGAGAGCTGGTCAGTTGTAGGCTAAGGGGGGAAGTGAATGACAGCCTCCTGAAGATGGTCTTTGAAGTTTCATTGACTTAAAACTGACGTGACATTTTAGCGAGAATGTGTATTTTGCTTTATGTGCATCCCCGAATCTCGCCTCGGGTGAATTGTAACAATTATATTTATAACAAACATAAACTCTTCGCTTGTCATTTGAGAGAATTCTATGGTGAATTTTTATAAATATATGAAGTGAATAATTTATTCCTAATTCCTAATTTATGTAAATAGGGATTTTTCTACATGCAGTTTTACTTCGAATGGAAAGAAACATCTAGGTGTATGTTGTAAGCAGCTTTTTCTCAGAGAGCAGAATAGATACCAACCCACAGTGACATGTGCATGTGTGCACAGAACCACTTGGTGAATAAAGTCCTGTGGTCACATTCATGCCCCGTGAAGACCCTGTGACATCAGCCCTTCCACTGGGGAGTTGTGTAATTCTGGCACTTTGCTTAACCTTCTAGACCGGATATTCTCATCCACAGAATGAGGCAAGCGGGCTAAGTGATCACTGGGTTTTTTGGAAGAGCCTGGGCCTCAGAAGGAGGAGGCTGCCTTCCAAAGGGGGGGCTCACCTTAACACCTGTATGACATAATCTCGCTGCGCCTCAGCTTCTCTGTAAAAGTGAGGATGATAATCCTCGTCTGGCAGAGCTGTGTGAAGACTGAGAGTGTGTTAAAAAGCACTTCTTGCAGGCCTGCCTGGCACAGGGCAAGATGCTGCTTGGAGTTAGTGGCACTATGGCCACCCTTTGAGCCCAGTCCCAGATATGGTTGGTCCTGTGATTTGTGCACAGGGGGTACCCTCTCTGGGAGGGTCCTATCCTGCGTGGTACCCCCCCAGCAGTCAGTCATCTGCGTTGGCTCCCTTGGGAAATGAAGAGCTTGCTGGCTCATGTTGACATATTCCACGGAGACCCCCTTGTTAGCAGAGCCATAGGCCAGGGATTGGAAAATCCCACTCCCACTTTCATTTTGTTGCACATTTGTTTTCAAAGTATTGTGTCCCATCTATTAAATGGGGATAGAAAAACTAGTATACAACATTCAGACTAGAAAGAAAACAAAAACACCTCATTTGTATTATCCAGTCTCTTGCACTTTTCAGTGTGCCCTTACATTAGCTAAAGGACATCCCCTGCCCTGTTCCCAAGTTAATCTCGGCTGGACAGGGCTTAATACCAAGGCACCTTGGGGATCCGGGAGTTGTTGGAGTGAGCCAGGTGCTGGGTAAGAGCTGTCTCTTTTCTCTTCCAGGGGATTCAAAGCAGGGAGCAGAGCTGCTGGCTCCATGGAAGTGATCTCAACCATGGAGACCAGTGACCCTGAGCCACAGCCCAATAATGGACACCTCCCAAAATCCAGGCCCTGCTCTCAGGAAGACAGAATACCCAATCTGATGGCCCCTCGGCCTCCCGGGGCATGGAGGATACAGCTCCATGGTCCCTCTGTGCTGGAGTGCAAGGTGAGGGCCTTGAAGGAGAAGATGACAGCAGACAGGCAGGGGACCAGCCCCTGCCTTGCCTCCCACGATTGGCTCTCCCCCAAGAAACCCAAATGCAGAGGAGTCAAGGTGGGTGGAGCTGGGACTCCATCAGAGGGGTCTTCCTCGCCTGATGCTGTGATGGTCCTCCCTGCTCAGAACCTTACCACTGGGAAGCTGGACAGCAGTGTTAATGAGGAGGAACCCATCAGGAATGGGAGCTCTAGACCTCCCAGGCCACCTGCCTCTGGGCTTGAGTGCTGGAACGGGAGGAACCCGTGGCCTCTGGAAGCTGTATGGACACTGCCTGACCATGGAAGGGGTCTGCTGCCAGAGCCCAGCTATTTGCAAGAGAACCCCATCCACAGAGCCACTCCCTACCGGCCCGGGGACCCTGGGCCTTGTAACGAAACCACCTACATGCCCACCCTGAAAAAAGGAAGGTCAGACCCCCCTCGGGATGGTCTGGTCACAGGGGGAGACCTGGACAGCGTGTCTCTGACCTCCGAGGAGGTCTTTGTCCCTAAGACAGCCCTGCCGGGGGGACTCTGGAGAACTGGAGACCTGGGTGCTCTAGGCACTAGGGGCAGTGCCTTGTCTCTGTCTGATCGGGTGGAGAGGAACCGCCTTCTGCTGCAGGAGATGCTAAATGTTGGGGGACAGGGCCCTACCAAGTTGGGAATCCCAGCCTGGACTCCATCCTGGGACAACGCTGTACCAGGTGAGGCTCACTCTGTAGGTCTGGGTGGTAGGCACACAGGAGAGAGTTCAGGAGGAGACAGGGGATGGAGGTACCCACAGAGGGGGTGGGCAGGAAAGGAGGGAGACTGTAGCAGCCTGTACCAAAATCATCAGAGCTGTTATTCTTACTTTGACATAGATTCTTTACAACCTCACAGCCAGCGCATCTGCTGAAAACCCTTTGCCCCTTGGCCCCTCAGACCAATGTGAAGCTCCACTCTGTGCTTGAGGTGGGGGCCACCGTGACTTATTTCCTGTGACTTGAAGCCCTCTCCAGAGTGACATTTTTGCATGTCCCTGGTATAGGTCCCCTTACCCCTCAGTGGACCTCATTGCCCTCTTGGTGGGGCACGCAGCAAGACCCCTCCCCACAAAGGCCTAGCATCCTGTCAGGTGGCTGAGCTGGGGAGGTAGCACCAGAGGGAGGTGCCAGTGTTCATACCAGAGGGACAGCCTTCTTGCCCGTTCCCGCTCCCCGTTACAAAAGCTCGTTTCTCACCCTGAGAGGACCCAAGCATTCTCCTCAGTCATGGCGCTGCCCACCAGCAGGCCACCATGCCAGGCTGTGTCTCCACCTCTCAAGCTGAGGGTTAGCTTTACCTGGGGAGGAAATAGCTTCTGGAGAGATCCTTCTCTTCAATAAGCATTATGTGGCAGCTGACAGAGCCTGGCTTTTGGCTCTGCCCTGATCTCTGATCCTGTTTTGGGTTCCAGGGCGACCAGCGGGGGACATGAGCTGGGACTCAGGCATCTGCCTGCAGGACTCTGGCCAGGACAGGTAAGAGCTCAGAGCTGTGTGTTCCTCATTCCTCACCTGGCCTGGCTGTGGGCTTGAGTTAGTTGAAGTGGATGGCCTTTGATCTAGATCCTTGGTATTGGTAAGTCTGACATTTACATACAAAAAGGAAACATCTACTCTGGGAGCTTACACTCAGAGGAGGGACTTTCCTGTGTCCTGAGGAGATGATATTTGTATAGAATCTTCAGGATGGGAATTTGGCCAATTGCAATGTTTCAGAGTTCAGTTAGATTGTGTGAGTACACATGAGGATATGTAAGTGTGTGCTTATATGTGTATTTATTCACTGTGTATGTATGTAATGGGGTGTGTGTGTGTGTGTGTGTGTGTGTGTGTATAGAGAGAGAGAGAGAAAAAGAGAGAGAAAGCAGATGCCCAGAGAGCCTTAGGATTCTTTTTTCTTTTTTTCTAATGATTTATTTATTTATATTTGCATAGAATAACGGGTGTAGGCCAGAGTTGCAGGGAGTGAGAGGATTTACCAGAGACAGAGTGGGGAGCAAACCAGCAGATCTACTGAAATACACTGCTGAGGGGAGCAGCGGGTGAGACAGGAGAGGTCTGCCATGCCGTGTAGGTCATCTCCCTGGCCAGGGATCAAACTCAGGCTCAGTGGCTGCTGATAGCTTCATAGTGCTGAGACTTAACCCCTGCACTACCAGGGAGGCCCAGATTTTTTTTTGAAGATTTATTTATTCATGCATACAAGAACCAGGGTACAGGCCAGATGTGCGGGAGGGTGAGAGGATTCACCAGAGACAAAGTGGGGAACAGAGCAGGCAGACTGACTGAAATACACTGCTGAGGGGATCAGCGGGTGAGACAAGAGGTCTGCCATGCCATGTGGGTATCTCCGTGGCAGACCAGGATCGAACCTGCCCTGCAGAGGCTGCGGACAGCTTGACAGCACTGTGCTCAACTGCCTGTGCCACCAGGGAGGCCCTGTTTTTTTTTAACTGTATTATTTTTTATTGAGGTAACATTGGTACAATACTGTATATGATTTAGAGGTATAGGTTACACCTTTTCAGATATGTATGTTGCCATCCCACACCCACCACCAAAGTACCTATAGTCCTCCACCATAGTCTATTGGGCCTGCTTCAGGCTTTGCTTGCCTCCTCTTCTCCCAAATAGCCTCAGTTCTGCAGTCAGATTTCTAGGATTTGTTTAGTTTAGTATATTTCTTCCTTTTGTTTCTTTATATTCCACATATGATGATATTGCCCAATATGTATGTCTGTCTTCTTCTGACTTATTTTGGTTATCACAATCCCTTCTAGTTCCAAGCATGTTGTCACAAATGGCAAGAGTTAACCTTTTTATAGCTGCATAGTATTCCACTATGTCTATACACCACATCTTAATCCACTCATCTGTTGGGCACTTAGGTTGTTTCCAGAATTTGGCTGTTGTAAATAGTGCTATAATGAACATAGGAGTGCACATATCTCTTCAAATTGGTGTTTTTGCATTCTTCAGAATAAGAGGCCTCTCTGGGGAGACATCAGTTGATTTAGCCTGGTCACACAGTTATTAAGTGTTGGAGCAAGAGCTGCACTCAGAGTTGCTGGACTCTTAGGTCTGTGTTCTAACCCTTACTGCTATAACCTGTAGCCAAACTACCTCACTTTGTCCTCAGGGATCCCACAGGCCACTCCTGAAGTTAGGGATCTGTGGGTCTTCTGCTTCCCCAGCGTGGTGTTCTCATGTATAGGCAGAGAAGGCTCCATGGGATGAGCTTGTTGAGATGAATCAGGAAGAGGGTTTTGATTTGGAAAACAGGAGGAGGCGAGAAGTAAGCCTTTCTGGGAGGTAGACAGCCAGCACTGTCAGCCCCCTTGTTCATGGGCTGCATCTGCACTGACTCATTAGAAATGGGAGAGGAGTACTGAAGAGGGTACCAGGCCTGGGCTGGCTCTTCTTCATCTGCTCTTAGCGGCCATAGTTGTTCCACCCCTTCTTCCTCTCTCACTGTAAAATGGCCCAGACTCGGCAGCCTCGTCCCTGTATGAGGCTCTGAAAAAGCATTTTGGGATTACACATTGCTTTCAGATCCTGAATTAACCCAGCTTTTGCAAAAGGCATGTATCACCAGGGGCGCTACGGCCCCTGAGGCCCCAGGACCTGCTAAGAAGTCTCATTGGAGAGGCAGTGCTGTGTGACCTGGGTCACCGGTTCAAATCAGGACTTTGTGTGTGTGTGTGTGTGTGTGTGTGTGTGTGTGTGTGTGAGAGAGAGATCTTGGGGACACTGCATCCTGAGTGTGTCTGTGGGGGCTTTTGTGATTGGTCTGCTGTGGGGAAATGGGATGGGGGGCATCTGGGATTGTTTCATTTGCGCTAAATGTGATTTCTGAGGCTGTTGATATCTCCTGGCCCTGTAGAGAAATCATGCCCATTTTCTAGATGCAGAAATTGAGGCCTAGAGGGCAGCCAGTCTCTGGCTTACATGCTTCTTCATGAGGAGCTGGAGCAGGGTGCAGCCTTTCTCACTTTGGTGGGTTCCAATTTTCAGGCCATTGTGAGGATTGCTAAGGGATTCAAGCTTCCTGCCCCTAAGCAATTTGTAGACTCTAATTTAAATGCAGGTGGGGAAGGGGAGGGAGGAGGACAAAAGTGGGTAAGCCAGGCAGGGAGCCCTCAAAAATTTTAAAGTCCTGGCCTGTCACTTAAGTGGTCACGCCCACTGTCATGAGAAAATCTCTGGTTTTTAAAATTTAGTGCGGTTTTTTTGCTTTTTTTTTTGTTGTTTGTTTTTTGCTTTTGCGGGGGGCATCCCTGGGTGGGCTTGAAAGAATTTAGTGTATTAACTAGAGTATTGGGAGACTTGCTGGTGAACCAACCTCTGTGTGTGAGTGCAGATGGAATTCCCATTTTCGATCTCACTGTCATTCTGCCTGCACCAACTTTGGCCACAGCTGAACTTCTGGGGCTCCTTCAAGGCAAGAACTGTGCTTTCCTGACTCTGGGAACCGGTGCCCGCCATCTAGTATTGTGGGTGTGAGGTCTCACCAAGGCCTGGGGCCTTGTATGCACTCTGTTTGCAAACAGGAGAGAATGTTCCAGATGGTTAAGACCTGCAGACATGTTTGGGAGAGGTCCCAGGAGGAATGTGGAAGTGTGATCAGGATATAAGGTGGGAAGGTAGCTGAGGTCATTTATGGAATTTAGATTTTTGAATAAAGCAGGAGGAGATGGAGAGACGTGAGCCATCTTCTCCTGCCCACCCACTCCCTCCATGTTGCATGGCCTTAGATCCAGGCAGTGCTGGTGAAAGGGTTGGCAGATCATCTGGCTCACTGCTCAGGTTTTGGAGTTTCTGGGACCCTAGCATCAGGGGTCATTGTGAGTCCTGGGGGTGAGCATGGGAGAAGAGACTTTCTTACACCACTGAGAATTTTCAGGGCTGGAGGGCCCTGAGGACACCCAAGACAAGGGCGTAACCAAGAGTGGCTGAGCCCCTGCCTGTCCTGTGTGTATCAGGCCAGCCCTTAACCTGCCCACAGACTCAGAAATACAGACACCAAGGAAAACTGGAGGAAACCCTCTTCCCACTTTCAACCCACCAAGACTAAACCAAAAAAAAAAAAAAGGAAAGAAAGAACTAAACCGTTCAGCAGTGTTTTCAAATACTTCCATGCTCTCAAAGTATCTAAATCCTAGGTAGGGAAGGGAGGATACTAACACATGAAGTCCTTTCTCAAAGCAAAGCCGTCTGGAACTCTCTTGCCCTGTCCTTGTCACACCTACATACACCCCACACATAAAAATCTCAATATGGTCCCAATTTGCATGAATAAGGAGGCTCCAGAAAAGTTCGTTTGCCCAAGACCACTCATATGAGGAGAGACAGGTTGGAATTCTTGTACAGAAAGACTTCCTCTTTGGCCCCCGGGGTAAGCAGGCCACTCTTCCTGCTCTGGGGTATCTTGGACACTGGTCTCCACACCCTGAGGCCTGGCAGTGCTAAACAGGGAACAGCCTTGGTTTCCTTCTGGGAATTAACAAGGAATTAATAGGTTTCTTCAGGAGGGCCAGGACAGAGCCGCACTGTTTGCTGATCAGAAGCCAAGGTCTTAGGGAAGCTCTGTGCACCTCTACCCAGATCCTTCTGCAGGTATGCAGTGCGCCCTAGCCTCTGGCAGCCATTCTTAAAAATGCCTGCTCTTCTTTGTTGAGAGAAGTACCTGCTTATTGTCTGGGCAGCAGCTCTGCTCCCAAGTGGCCTACTCATTCTCCTCATTCTGCAGAAATTGCCTTTCTGTGCAGCTCTGTCAAAGACTTTTGAAAATCTAGAGCAAAACCACCAAACCCTCTGTAGTTTCATGATGGTTTGTCACTTCCTACCATGCCTCCCCTTGAAGCAAATGACAAGGTAACCTGTTGGGCAGGTGATTTCAGTTCATAGCCAGAGATGCTGTCCCCTGCTCTGTAAGGGCGTGAGAGTGGCTACATGAAATAATGATGGTGATGATGATGATGATAATGATAATGATGATAATAATAACAGATACTGATATATACATTGACTCTTCCCAGGTGCACAACTCTGTGCCAGGAATCAGTTTCCTTTATTTTAACAACTGAGCTCTCACCTAGCAGATGGGGAAACTGAGTTATAACCCCTAAATCACCTACCAGTGACACAGCAACAAATTTTTCCAAGACCAGACCCCCCAGAGCAGGCTGCCCTTGAACCACACTTTAACAACAACTCTCTGCTCTGTCCCCAGTCCTGCAGTCTCTGGAAGAAGGTGCCTGTGATTGAGAGACCAAGATCAGGTCCCTGCCCACATGCGGCACGTGGGAGCCAGAATCAACTCCAGGCCTTCCTTTTCCTCCTGCCTCACTTACACGCAGTATGACCACAGGAGATCTCTGTCCTTGGTCACCGGAGAGCTTTACAGTATGCAAAAATGGAACAAATACTAGGCAATAGGGTTTAAATATGGTCAGCATGCTATTTATTTCCCTACTACCTGCTGCATCCTAGAATCTGGGAAATAACAGATCTCTTTCCATTCCCAATTATTTCCCTTTGTCACGTTCCTGAGATGAAGGAGTTAAATCCAGACTTGTTGGAGCTTATTGTTTTAATCCAGATTATGATGACTACAGAAAGAGGCCACTCTGTCTCCTTGACCTCCTGGCTAAGGAGAGAAATGGTGGTTGTCCTTACTTGAGGTCTGGACCTACCTGGAATTGAGGGAGTAGAAGTTGAAGTTAAGACTGTCCCTCCCCCTGGACACTGACTTAGATGGATAGACTGGGTGGGGTGGGGAATATATTACCCTTCGTCCTTGTGAAGGAGTTTAGGACATTGGTGGACTAGGGCCTAAGGGAAGGGCTGGACTATTCACATGGAACTTCAATTGTTTCCAGTAGTTAATTCTTTGTAGGCACTGCTGCTTCTTAAAAGCCAAACATCTATGGTGTCAACCACAAGGGAGAGGTCCTTAATTCTCCCCCCCACCCACTCCCCATGTTACACCAGAACATGACCGAAGATATATCCTCACAGGGTGGCAGTGTGAGCTAGCCAGCTCCCACTGTTTACAGATGGGGAAACTGAGTCAGAGAGGAAAGGCACCAGTCACTTTATCCTTGCCCCCTACCTGCTGAGCAGATAAGCCCCACATGTGCAAGCTTTCAAGAGAACATCTATTCCTAGGTGAAATTACTTTGCTTAGATATGCATGGACTACCCCCATCCTTCCAGAAAACTTCCAGAAATTTTGTGGGACCTGGATTGTGGGTTATAGTTCTATGATGGGAAGGGCTTGGCTCCAGGGCTGTGTGCCCTTGCATAGACCTGGGTCCAATTGGACTGCAAGGCTTCCCTCAGTTGAAAGAGTGGGATCCCATCTGCTTGGTAGGTGAGCCAGAATGATGCAGTGATGGGAGGTGGGTGGACTCAGTGCCTCTCAGCCCCACATCTGCTTGCCCCTGCCTCTTGGGAGAAAGACCATCTCCTCTGCATGGGGCTGGTCAGGGTGTGCCCTCCCCAGGGGGTGCCATGGCTGAAATAGCAGACCCTGCTGACCTTGGCTGCCATCTGTGAAGGTGACTGCCACGCTCCTCCCCGCTCAATCTGTTCCTGCATGGATGCCTCCAGGCACCTAAAAAGCCCTGTTTTTCTAATCAGCAGAGAAACCAGCTTTGTCTGCCAGAAACCAAAGTGGGATAGCTGATGATGAAAAAAAAAAAAAAATTTAACAGCTCCAAGTAGAGGGAGCAGAAAGAAAACAGACAGGCTGGAAAATGGAGCAAGTCCGATCTTGGCAGCATCTGGCCAGCTGCCTGGGGGCCCTCCTGCCTGCCCACCAGGTCTTGTGACAAATGCCCTCCGACAGCCGGGGAACCACAGCTGTCACCGGAAGGCTCCAAGGGTGCGGGCTGGCAGCCAGAGGCCCGCGGCTGCAGGGGCGTCTCTGGGCTGGTAACCTCATTATCTGTGCTGTCGGAGCAGGAGCCCTGGGGAGCACAGCTGCTCTCAGTGGCTCTTTGATTGGAGGAGCGGCCTGCCCACTCGGGAAGCTGTGCGAAGGGAGCCTCTCCTGCCAAAGGAGGCTTCGCGGGGCAGCTGGCCTGGAGCTGCATTTCCACATCACTCCAGTAAAGCCCTCCTGGTTCCAGGACTTGCCTGGGCCCTGCCAGGGTTCATAGGCACAGATGGTGCTATTATTCTAGCAGTTTTTTTTTTTTTTCCCTTCAAGCCCCAAAGCAGGGTAAGGTACAAATAACAAGAAAAAATATATAATTAATAATAATAATAGAAATTATAGTCTCTCAGAGCTTGTCCAATGGTGTCCCAAGAAGACCACAGAGCTCTGCCAATTTCCACTCATATCTCTGTTGTCTGGGGAAATACTCAGTACATTCTCCTGTGAGGACAAGGCCCTTTTCTGCCTATGACACATGGGGGAGGGTAAGATGAGGTTGGGTGACCACAGTCTGAGGTCTAGACCCTGCAGAGCCTTCACCTGCCTTAGTTCTCATTCTGTGGACCCCCCCGGTGAGGACGGCCCCACTGTCTATAACAGTGAGGACAGGGGGCAGCCACAGTGGATGCTGAAGCTTCGTAGAGTGTGTGTCTGACTCCAGCCGCCATGTCCTTGGCCTACCCGGGGACCCAGGATGTGGGCCGATGCTGGAGGCCTTGGGCTGTCATCCTCAGCTCTGCTCTGTTCTGCATTCACATTCGACCTTGAGCAATGTGCCAAATGTTCCTCTCTGCTCCGAACACCCTCATCTGTCAAGCGGAGCGAACACCTGTCCTCGCAGTCTGGCTGGGAAAGTGAGCTCCGTGGAGAGAAGCTGGGTCTGTGGGAGGTTGCGGGGCTGCCGTTCCTGCTGTAGCGCTGCGCTGGCTATATGTCACTGTCTGCAAGGCAGCTTTGAAAAAGGGCTGCTGTCATTTTCTGTGGATCTGCACTGGCCGGAGATAGGGGTGGGGACAGCACATCTGGTAGGTGGTGAGGGTAAACGATCCTTATGATGATGAAAGTTGAGTTATGCGGGGACTTGGTGTGGGTCCAGCTTAATGGCTCTTAACTCCAAGCCAGACCTGACACTGAGGCAAAAAGAAACCAGAACTTGTGCAAATGTCTCCCCCCAAAAGAGCTGAGCTCTGATGGGCAGTGCCCTGCTCCCGTGTCTATGGCGGGAGCTCAGGGTGGCGCCGTGTGCGCCTGAGCGGGTTTGTGTGGGCGCAGAGAGAAACAGAAGGAGAGAGGGAGGTGAGGCATGTAAAGACCATCTGGCCAGGCACAGGCCCAGCCTGACAACCCTGGCCCTTTTCTCCCTCTCCTCTCAGAGAACACTCACGTATGTCCAGGGAAGGGACAGTAAAATAATCTGGAGACTCCCTACCCTTTTTCTAGATCCTTCTGGGGTCTCTGCCTCCAGTCCCTAAGTGGATATCTAAGGTGGGCCAGCTCCTGGGCCCCAACCTGAGTCACTTAGGGCCATTTCCCAGGCCAGTGGCCCCAGACTGGCTGCCCTCGGGTAGTTGCTGGACAAGGGAACCTGCACATGCCTGGCTTTCCCTGACATAGCTATAGTTGACATTGTTAAAGCCCTCCTAATCTGGGATATTTTCTTCTAATCCCTCCTCCGCCCTCTTTGGCTTGGTTGCCTCCCCAAAGAACTGTTGGTCCAAAGCCGGAACCCTTGCTGAACCCCAGGCATGAGGAGGCCAAGCATCTGCTGCAATGTGCCCGCGTGAAGGCCAGGATCCAGCCCCTCCGCGCCAACCATGACATTGTGCCCACCATCGCCCAGGGCAGCCGGTGAGTGGGGCCAGCAAGGGAAGGGATATTGCTCACAGCTCCCTTCATCTGTGTGTGTGTTTCCTGGGTCAGGCACTTGCTTATTTCATTTAGTCAGCCAGTCCACCTCGTTGAGGGCCTAAGTGGCATGCATTGAGGATTTGAAAATGAATGAGACATGTTCCCAGCTCCCTGGTTGGATAGAGGTCACAACCTCCAGGGAGAAAGACAGGCAGATGAATCAATACAGTGCTGTGGACTGTGGTACTGTAGAGGGAAAATGTGGGTGCAGAGCAAGAAACCTATAATTCTGTGAGGAAAGGAAAGGGGAGGCCCCAGCAGAGGTAGCGTCAAGGTTGGGGCTTACAGGAGATGTAGCTGTTCACTGGGCAGATGACAGAGGCAGGGATGAGCCTCCCAGGATAGTACCCTGAGTACAAACACCGTGCTGAGGGGTAGACCAGGCTGGAGCATGTGGGCATGCCAGGGCGTGTGGCACTAAGGCTAGACAGCTCGGTGGAGGCCAATTATAGAGGCCCCCTGCCCGCTGAACAATTTGGACGTGTCCTGAAGCAGCTCAAAGCCACTGAAGGATTGTGCAGGATTGTGAAGGATTGTGCAGCACAATCACATTTGCAGCTCAATGAAGCCTCAGATTGTAGGGATGTGTTGGATCTGAGAAACTGGGGGCCAGGAGAACGCTGCATCAGGGTTCTGGTAAGAGGTCTAGGGAGGAGGATGTAGAGAAAGAGATGCCCAAGAGCCAGAAGCAAGCAGGTTTAATGAGGCAGGAAAGAAGTTGTTAAGACCTTGGCACCAGACCACTGGGTTTCATTTCCGGCCCTGCCACTTCCTAGCTGTGTGCCTTTAGGGAAATCTCTGTGCCTCTGTTTCCTTATCTGCAAAATGGGAACTACAATAATGCCCTCTTCCAGGGTTGTTTGAAGGCATATAAATTAATATGAAGTGTTTAGAAGGACTCCTAGCAGGTAATGTTAGCTCTTACTATTGTTTAATTGATGTGAGAAGAAGAAGGGGAGGCACCCAGAAGCTCAGGGCTCTGACTTGGTTCTGGAGATTTGGGAGGGGGCAGGGGGGATTCTTAACCAAGGAGTAAAGCCTAGGTGCAGGGTCAGGCTTTGGAGGAAGCTGTCCATGGAGCATCCCCAGAGATGCTCATCAGGCAGTTGGATACAAGATCTGCAGAGGAGGAGAGAGAGGGCAGACAGCAGGTTTGGGCAGTACCCTGCTTTTGTGATGTTGGAGCTATGGGTAAGCAGAACTCATCAAGGATAAAAGGACAGGAAAAGAACAAGTTCAAGGATATTCAGACCAAGTTTCATGACCTTGAGGCACGCACTCCATATACATGTCGCTCCAAGTGACATCCATCCTCCTCTTTGTGCCTATTCTGTCTCATTTACACCCCAAGGAACCACCACCCTCACCAGGTGCACCTGGGCCCAGATGAGGCTGCCAACCCAGGCCAAATTGCTCCAGGCCAGAGGAGGATCATCTGTGCAGCTGATCCAGCCTGTGGCTTTGGAGCACAGTGGGCTGCCAATTTCCATCACATATGGCACCAGAGGGAGTGAGGATTCTTAGTGCACTGGACCACATGCTCTTTGATGGGGCTGCTGAGCCCACTCATTCATGGCTGAGGACCTTCATGGCACCATTGGAACTGTGCCAACATGAGCACTGCAGTCTGCCTCTGCATGCAGGGTCATTATGGCCCTTAGGTGAGGGGCCCAGGAGAACCTAAATCCTGGGAAGAGGTGCCAGACAGGGTGTCCTTTGGTTTCCACATCTGTACCTTCCACTTCTGGCTGGAAGGTAGTAGTTAGGAATGAGCATGTCTTCTTTGAGGCCTACTCACCATTACCCACATGCATATAGGCCCAGAAAACCTTGCCATGCCACTTTCCACAGATCCTTAGGCTGGATTGCATAACCTTAAAATAGATAAGTCCATTAGCAAAACAGACTTGATTGTGTAAATATACTCTTGGACTTGTCTTCGTCCCCAAATCACATCAGCAGTGCAAAACAACCCCAATCACTAACCTTCAAGTAGATTCCCTTCCTCCAGGCTGTCCCTTAGCCATAGAAATGCTATAGAAATGCAAGGTGACCTACTTTAGCAGCTGCTGTGTCCAGAAAAGAATTACTTTGACTTGGCAGCACTGGTGAAACCTCGGAGGGTATCGCTGAAAAATCAACACCAGATGGCTTGCTGCAGATGCTTAGAAAGGTTACGCTTGTCAGATCACCCTGGAGGGACATGCTGAGTTAACATGGAGATGCCACACAGGCGCCGGGCCCAGTTAGAGGCAGCCCGTCACCCCACCCGCCAATCCAGAGGCATTGCTCCTTCCAAAGAGCAGCCTGGTGAAAGATGACGGAAGAGTGGAGACAGGCAGAGAAGTCTCCAGAAGGCCTTTCTCCTAGGTCTGGCTGGAGAAAGCGCAGGCAAGCCTGAACAGTTGAAGAGGTAGCCAAAGCTGCATTTTCAGGAAGCAAACTGATGTTGAAATCAAGCAGCGCCTGGAAAGACATGTTCTTGCCATTTGGGGGATAAACACGCCGAGGTTGGCATTCCTAATTCTGGGAGGACAGAACACATCAGCAAGATGCAGGGCCTGGAGGCTGACACGTTAAATATTATTGTGTAAGATGGAGGCTATTTTCAGGCTGTAGCCCTTGTGTGGGTCACAGCAATTGTGTGGTTAGAGAGGGGGGGCTCCTTATAAGGCCGTATAACCCAGGTTCAGAGCCAGACCAGAATTCCCTCTGAGGGGATAGCGACTGGGCCTCCTCTTGAGAAGCCTGGCAGGAGTGAGGTTTGTTGACTGCTGAAGTGCTTACTCTCTCTGTGCTTGTCTTCAAAATCTTCACCCCCTGTAGTTACTGTTCCCTCACTGCTGGTGAAGTCCCCTGGGTGTGCATCATTGAGTGATTAGGCTCTCCTTCATTTCTCCTCTTAGAGCAGAAATGTCATTTCTGCTTTGGGGTGAACTCCAGGATGGTTCAATTCACCATCATGCATGTAAAAGTTAAGTCACTAATGGGCTCTGGATTCCTTTATTAGATTAGGAATGTACTGCTTTAAAAGTGGGCCTTTTTCACCCTCCTTAGAATAGAACAGCCCATGTCTGGTTCACAGAGCAAGGCAATGCTGCTGGGGGCTGAGAAGGATTGCTGTGTACCAGTGTGCCACTCTCGCAGTGGGCCTTCCTGTGTTGGATAGGCCTGGAAGGCCAGGGCATCCTGCCTGTGTGGGGGAGGTAGAGAAAAGTGGGGGTCCTCTGGCTTCTGGGGGGTGGGTTTATACTGTTCTGGACTGTTGGAGAGGCAAGAATGCCCTGAAGAGGTCCCCATGTAGTCATGACCCCTGCAGAGTGAATGGCCCATGACCTCTTCCTTAGATCTGGCAAGGCCAAAGAGATGTGAGTGTAGGTGGGGTCCCAGAGCAGAGGGTCGGTGCTCCAGAAACTCCCATTCACCAACAGAGGATTTTCACTAGCACAGGGGCCCGAGAACCTGCACCTTCTTCAACAGGACCTGATCCTGGAAATTTAGATCTCAGCCAGGAGCCCAATCCTGCACATGTGGGCCCCTTTGTCCATAAAAACAAGGTAAAAGTCAAGTTCATGACCATGCTGGTGTAAAGGTGAATATGTTAATATTATATATGTGAAAGCTTTCTGTGACTTTAAAAGAAATGGAAACCTTTCCATGGGCCTCTGGAAGCCATGTGGGCCTCTGGTACCAGGCTGCTGCTCCTAAGTTGACCTTGTTGGAATGTAGTTCCAGAAACCAGGCTGACCCATAACTTTTCAGTATTCCTGAGCAGCCCTTTAAAGCATGGGATCTGCTCAAATGATGCCTACAAAATGGGCAGATCTGGCTTAGCAGTTCTCTTTTTTAAAAAAATTCCTGCTGGAACAGTGCTTGTGAGGGGAAACACTGAAGTCAGGAGCTGTGGCAGGTGTGCAGGCACCCACTGGGTAGTGTTCCACCCAGGTCAGTGTAGATGGCAAGGGACACCTGGCATCACACTCCAGGGAGATCCCAGCATTTGCATTTTTAAACTACATGATTGAGAAAGCACCCACTCCTCCATGTGAATCAGGGGCTAGGATGTGAAGCAGTTTCCCACAGCAGGATCTTGGCTCAAGCCCTATTCTACCAGCTCAGCATTCATGGTTGGGCAAGCTCAGCCGCTCCCTTGGTGTGGTCAGAAGCCTGGAGTCCGGTACTTGAGGCACAGGTGAGTGAGTGCCTGAGGTGCTCAGCTGCAGCTGGTTCCCATGGAACTATGCAGGGAATCAGTCCTAGACAATTTAACTCTTACCTTTCAGTCTACCCCCGAACCCAAAGAGTGGCCTATGATATCATATCCATGCCATCAGCAATCCAGGCCATGTTAACGCAATGTGAGTCTACTCTTTGGCCTCCATGTGAAGGCACAGAGTGAGGGGATGGTTAGGAATAGTCAGTGACACCCCCGGGGTGCAGGCCATATCCCCCTGAGCTAGATAGGCAAGGCTGTTTCTCTATCAGGACATACCTTAAGGGCCAGTAAATGCCACATATGGTTCTAGAAGTCACCAGTTCAGTGACTATTCTCCCCTCTGGTTGTCATGTTTTAACAGTAATTGTCAAGCATGGTGCTTTCTTCCTGCTGTTATCTGAACAGCATGCCATGTTTGTCCTTCTGGGTAGAAGTAAATTTGGGGAGGAAGGAGCTGACGGTAAAACAGCCTCCAGAGCACTGGCATCCCACTTTCCAAATCACCGGAGCATCCAGTAGAGAGAGGATTAGTAAGTCCACAAATCACATGTATTTTGTTGTAATAATTTGGAGTGTGCAGGCAAGCTTAAGCAAGTTGTGATCTGTACAGAATGCCGTTGGGGCAGAGTTTAATTCTCTGGGGAGATGGAAGGCGGGGGTGAGGAGAAGGCTATAGTTAGTTAGGGAAGGCTTTGTAGGTGTTTCAACGACTGAAAAGTCCCACAGCTTGTCTTTCCCAGCTTCTCAGGTGCTGGTCAGCACCTGTTTGTGTGTGGCCTGTTCTTTGTAGAAATGAGGAGGGGCCACCTGGTCCCTTCCAGCCTAACAACTTCTGCATCTGTGGTGATAGATGAACAGAACAGGTGTTCAGAGGAGGAAGACATTATCATGGTGTATTAGTCAGGGTTCTCCAGAGAAGCAGAACCAGCTCTGTGTGTGTGTGTGTGTGTGTGTGTGAGAGAGAGAGAGAGAGAGAGAGAGAGAGAGAGAGAGAGAGAGAGAGAGAGAGAGATTGATTTGCTTTCAGGAGCTTTCAGGAATTGGCTCATGTGATTGTGGAAGCTTGATAAGTGCAAAATCTGCAGGGCAGGCTGGCAGGCTGGCAGGCTTGAGACCCAGGGAGGAATTGCTCCTCAAATCCACACTCTGCTGGTAGAATTCCTTCTTACTCTGGGAAGGTCAGTCTTTGTGCTAGTAGGCCTTCAACTAATTAGACAAGGCCCACCACATTATGAAGGGCAATCATTTATTTGAAGACTGTCAATTCACATGCTGATTTTATCTGAGAAAATTCTTTATGAAAACATCCAGAATAATATTGGACCAAATACCAGGCACCGTGGCCTATCCAAGTTGACACATAAAATTAAGCATCACACCTGGAAATACACAAGCCTTAATGAATAGGATCCAGATGTCAGCAGTCTACTGGTCCAGGAAACCAAGGCAGGAGGGCTGCATGAGGTAGATAGGGTGGGAACCTGCAGGCTCTGTAAAGATGCTAAGGGATGGAGCTAGAGAGGAAAGCAGGCAGGAATATGGAGGACCTGTATTTACACCCCAAACTATGAACTTGATCCTGTGCCCCTTGAGGTATGGTGTGATGGAAGCTGTGTTCCAGGAGGCCCAACAGACTGGAGGCAAGGAGGCTGGATGGGAGGCCACTGCAGAGGTGCAGTGTGAACGATAGGGCAGCGATAAATGAGAGACACCATGTGAATCCTAACACTTAGGGAGAGCAAGGGTCCCTACTTAGGTAGTCTGTGAGCCCAGCCTTACATTACCTGGTTCTGGGGGACACTGGTATGAGATTTGTGGGGTTTCTCTGGCAGAGCAGGACCGGACCAGTAGCCAGTGTTTTCCAGAGAAAAGGTTACGACAGAATTCAGGTTCTTCCCAGCACAGTAATTTTCACCCCTGCTTTCTAGAGTGAGGGAGCGACTAGGGAGCGCAGGTACAGGAGGGGTATCAGGACAGACAGCATGGAGAGTCCAAGGAGATCCATCAGTGTCACACTGTCCAAATGCCATCTAAGCAAACACAGAACACCAAGGCCACACTTTTCAAGGCCATAGATGTTTAGAAACCCTGTCTGCCTCCATAGAGACTTACAATTCGCTTTTCCCATTAGACCTTTACAGCAAACACAGTATCGCAGATTGATGCCCGCCGTGGCCAGGCTCCTTGCTGTCATCCTTGTGCGCAGGCCTGAGTTCAGTGACATTTCATTTTTACCCAGGCTGAGCCAGGGAACGGAACCTTAGCCCAGAGTGAGGAAGTGGCGCTGATTTTGTTCAGTGCTGTCTGAGGGTAGGGATGGGTTTGGAAGCTACTCCATGTTGCCGCCTGCCTCCTCAGAACTTGCTCTGGGGCAACTTGGGGGCTGTGGTTCCCCAAGGGCGCTGTGGCAGACTGGGCCGCAGGGGACCTTCCTCCCCATCCTTCTGCCTGCAACCTCTCTCCTGTCTCTCCATCAGAGATAGCCGGAGGAGCCCAGCCACGTGCCGGAAGTTGCCGGTTACCTGCAGAGACAGCCTCCAGAATGGCAGTGCGTGTGACTCCTCCAGTGGGGAATCTGGCAGCGGGCAGTGGCTGAGGCAGGGCACCATGCCTTCCCATGTCCGCTTTGAGGATGAGTCGGCCCTTGAGGCCGAGTCCCGCTACTTGGAACGGCTGCAACAGCGCCAGCGCCAAGGACAGGGCCAGGGGCCCCTGCGCTCCAAACCTGACCTCTCTGACTACATCCATGGGGGCTTCCAGCGCAGGAACACTCCCCAACAGGCACTGTCCAGGCTTGTGGGCCACCTGGACCGCTGGGTCCTGCCTACCAGAGGTGGTGAGAGGAAGTGTCGAGCCTGTGGTCATTGCCTCGAGGACCAATGGCCCATCCCTGGGAAGGCACCCCCAGACCCAAGCGTACCCCGGGATGGTGAGTCTTCTGAAAGGATGGAGGGGGTGCTGTTAGAGCCCCTTAACTCCCAGGCGCTGAGCTTCCCCCTCATGCTCCTCCCATCCAAGCAAGGGCTCCATATGGAATGGTTCCGGGAAACACACACTGGGGACACATCAGTGTGCCCCGAGGAGGTGGGTCCTGCCCTGGACAGCATGGACATCTCTGACACCTGCAGGACAAACAACGAGGAGGCTGGAACTGCTCAGCCCAGCAGGGCCTGTGACCCAACCAGAGGAAGCAGCCCCCATCCTCAGGCCTCCAGGCCTCAAGCGGGACCCAGGTGGTTCTGGAAGGCTGACAAGGAGCCCCCCAAGAGCCCTCAAGACCCATGCTGCCCGCCAGGGGTTGATCTGGCAGAAGTTGCCAAAGAGGTGAAAGATGGCAGAGGATGTCCTCCTGTGTGTCCCACAGATGTCCTCTCTAAGTCTCCTGTCCTGGAAGCAAAGAGGGTTTCCTTGGGGTCCCAGTGGCAGCCTGGCTTAAGGCTGGGAAACTGCTGGGCTCATTCTATAGATACCAAGACCCCGGGCTGGGCAGCCTCAGCCATGGCCTCTGCCATGAAACTGGAGTCCTCGGGGCCAGACCAACAAACCCATGTGGTAGAAAGTGACATGTCTCTGGAAACTGTCTCCCTACCACAGAGCCTCCTGGAGCCCCCTGCTCCTCACCAGGTCCAGCAGCCAAGCCCTTCCCCTGAAGTCTGGGTGCCAACCCCTCCCTCTTCAAGGAAAACCACCTCTCCTGCATCTCGCAAAAAAGCATCCCTGGCTGCACCCCGCAGGCACCCTCACCAGGGAGAGCCGGTGAATTCCCCGCTGCCTCCTTCAGGAAGTATCGTTCCCAGGGCCTGGGAGCCTGCCCTCCTACAGAACCAGCCCTGCAGCCCCCAAGTCAGGCACCCACTGTCTACCAATAGCTGCAACAAAAGCATGCCCCGGGGGCTGTGGGAACCCCGGGGTATAGCTATCCACAAGGGCAAGGTGGAGAAGGAGCCCCAAAGTCAGGAGCCGGAGCCACCCCAGGAGAACTGCAGAGAAGGTAAGGGATGGCCCTGCCCAGACAGTCCCAGAGCAGAGACCTTCCGCAGGGCTGTGGCCCCCAGGCCCTCAGTGACTGGAAAGGGATGCTGTGGTTGTTACAGGAGGTCCCCAAGGCTTTCTAGGCTCAGCAGCTGCTGGTGCCATCGGCTTCATGGGGCCCATCCTTTCTGTAGCCTCGGAGGAGTCAAAGTCCATCCAGGAACCAGAGGGAGGCCTGCCGGAGACAGAGTTGAGTTCCAGAGGGCCTGTGACATCTCGGTGAGTGACAGGAGCAAGACAAGGTGGGGACTAGGGTGCAGGTGGGTAAAAAGATGCCCCAAGCGAGGTAGCACGCCTTAGCTCACTCCCTACTTCCTAATCCCTACAGGGTTCCTAGAGTTACTTCCAAGCCTGGCACCCCTAATGCCCCTTTCACACTGTTTTTAGTCTCGTGCACTTGATTATTCCTTCACTGAGTATTCACTGACTGGCCTCAAGGTCCAGGTGCCATGCTGGGGTGTGAGGAGCTGAGCAGCTAGTCCAAGTCCTCAGGGGGCTCCCGGGTGGGGCTATCTGTCATATCTCAGCTCTCAGTTACTAACTCCTGACTATGGACTTGATGGACTTGGAAATAGCTGGAAATAGCCCACCAGCCACCTTTTCATTCTCTGCTTCAGCGCTGAGGGTCTACATTTCTGGCCCTGGGCCTCAAAGCTATGGTGAGCCAGTCCCCTAGCTTGGGCTCCTCACTCCTCACCATTCCTGTGATAAGCATGAGGCTTTCCGTGCCACCCAGAACCAAATCTCTATCTCTCGCCCTGTGTGCTTCTAGAACTCCAGACCCCTGCATCTCCTTTACCCTGACATCTCCATCAGGCACCTCAAACCCAACACTGCCGAACTAAACTTTCAATTATTGCCCCCCAAGCCTTCTTCCCCTAGTCTTCATCCCAGAAAACACACTACATACTGCTCTCGCTCTGAATATGGGCATCATCTGCCCCTTCTTCCTTCTCTCCCGCTTTAACCCACCAGCCAGGCCTCTCCAGCTCCTACATCCATAATCACTCACCAGCACTCCCGTCTCTCTGGCCCCAGCTGCCTTAGTTCTTTCTGTCTGACTCTGAGCATCCCCACCTGCTCTTCACCTTCACTTTTGTCCCCGCAGCTCCTTCTCCACACAGCCATCAAGGGGATTATCTTAAAACCTGAATTAAATGATGTCCTTTGCCCTGTTTAAGTCCCCCAAGGGGGCTCTTCTCAGACCCTGGCCTTGGCTTACAGCTCAGGGTAACCCAACCTCACCCACCTGCCTGACCTCGCCAGATACCTCTTGTCTCACCCAAGTCCTGTGGGCCATCCTGTTATGTTCCTGAGCTCACCCACCTCTCCCTGTTTTTCCTCTCCCAGGCATCCCCTCCACCCAGAACTCTCCTTGAACACTCTCCTCGGGCCTTGACAGGACTGCCTCCTTCTTGCCATTTGACTCTCAGAGGCCTTCGTTGGTTTCCCTATGAAATATCTGGTTCGTCTCTGCTTCCTCCTACTCACAGCCGCTCACCTTTGTCTACTTCTCTGCTGTCTATAAGCTCCCAGGAGTGAGAATCTTGTCTGTCTTGTTTTCCACAAACCCAGTTGTCCCCACACACCTCAGAAACTACTGGAGGTGGAGAAGAGGTCCTGCAGATGGATGGAATAAATGAATGAAAGAGTGAATGAACAGGGCCTCCCCGGTGGCGCAGCGGTTGAGCGCTGGGTTGCGAAGCTGCCCGCAGCCTCCGCGGCGCCGGTTCGATCCCCGGCTGCTCCCCGGCCACCGGAGGAGGGTCCCACATGGCGCGCAGACCTCTCCTGCTGCCCGCTGCTCCCCTCAGCAGTGTACTTCGGTCCTTCTGCCTGCTCTGCTCCCCGCTCTGGCTCTGGTGATTGCTCTCACCCTCCCGCGCTTCTGACTGTACCCAGTGCATGTATAAACAAAACAAACAAACAAATAAATAAATAAATAAACATGCCTCTATTTAAAAAAAAAAAAAAAAAGAGTGAATGAACAGCTCAGACAAGACCCTTTGTGTCACTAAACTCTGTCTTGTCCTAGTTGTTTTCCTTAAAGGTCTCCCAGGTAGTTTACAGAAGTCCACTCACCCTTTCTTTCTTTCTTTTTTTTTTTTAAAGCTTTCTTTTTTTTTAGCTGCTGCTTTTTTTTTTTTTTTTTTAAGATTTTTTTATTTATTTATACAAGCACTGGGTACAGTCAGAAGCGCGGGAGGGTGAGAGAATTCACCAGAGCCAGAATGGGAAACAGAACAGGCAGACTGACGATACACTGCTGAGGGGAGCAGCGGGCAGCAGGAGAGGTCTGCGCACCATGTGGGACCCTCACCGGTGGCCGGGGATCGAACCGGCGCTGCAGAGGCTGCGGGCAGCTTCACAACCCAGCGCTCAACCACTGCGCCACCGGGGAGGCCCCCACTCTCCCTTTCTGTCTGCAGCCTGGCTCTCACCTCCTCCATGAGTTGTTGGTGCCAGTGCCCTGCCCTCTCCCACCCACCTCATGTCCACCTTTGAATTGCAGAGCATCACTGGACGTCTGTGCAGCACCCGGCCTGCCCTCAGTGGCCCCTTCTGGCAGGAACAAAAAAAGCAAAGGCAGCCTCACCACCCTGGGGCTGAAGAAATTCTTCTCGACCCTGAGCCAGGGCACCCGGTCCAGGTTGGCCAAGTGCCGCAGCTACAGCGTGGAGCAGCTGCAGCGCCCCACGCCTGGTCTGGCTTCACACACCAGCACCTCCAAAGTGAAGAAATCCCCGTCGTTACAATCCCTGCATCTGGTGAGTCCAAGGCCCCCACAAAAGGGAGTATGAGGCTAATGATGGTGTAGCCACCACTGGGGTAAAAGATGACAGGAAGCCTGAATGCTGAGGAGGCTGCCCCAGGAGCCCAAGGTACAGAAAGGAGAGCTGCTGGCATTGCCCAGGGAGTCCAGGAGGTTCTCCTGGGCACAGAGGGTAGGCAGCATTTCACCCTTCTGTTCTACCACCCAGCCACCCCCATCTAGGCTCACCCTACACTCTCTCCTGCCCTCTTCTCTCAGCTCTGCCACCTTCTAGATTCTGGTCATTCTGGAACTTTCTTCATTGTCACAGTGACTCTAGACAAATCACTTCACAACTGGACTACCTCACCTCAACAGCCCCCTGGTGACTGCCCTGCTATCTTTTTCTACATGGCCTTTGGAGTGGCCCTTCTGAGTGCAGATTTTGCCATGCCACCATGCTGAGCATCTATCGTGGGCCCCTCATCAACCGTCGGATAAAGTTCAGAACACTTGATATTGCCAGAGGGTCTGTGATCTGGCTGCTTTCATCTCTCAACAGTCTCCTAACACTTGACCCCAGTTCTTGACTTCCTTGAAATTCTGTCTGTAATCCAAGGATTTGAACCTTCACCTGAAATGTTTCTCCTGCCTTCTCTACCTCTAAATGTCTGTTCATCTATCTATGAACACTTTGGGCATTGCCTCCTCCACCACTGCCAGCCCTTCCCTGGACTGAGCTGGGGGCCTCAACTCTGCCGTCCCGTCTCACCCTGTGTGTCCCTGCTCCATGGACATCTATGGAATTTTAATTGATTTTTGTCTGTCTCCCCTCACTGGAGCAAGACTTCTTTGATGGAACACTCCTTAATCTCTGCATTTCCAGCCCTTAACATAGTGGCTAATATAGTGTTTCTACTTGAAACAAAGCCAATGAATGAGGGGTGAATTTAGACCTGCCAGCTTAAGTTCTCCATCCCCATGAGTAAGAAGATAAGCAACTAGTACCGCACTCTCAAACAGGTCTCTGAAAACCTGATTTGGTTCCAGGCATTTCTAGGTATAATGTTCTAGCTCCTGCTCCTCTCCTGGGCAGGACGAAGCAGGTGGTTGTGGCTTGGGGTATTAGAGCCTTTCATTTTCCAGGCTGAAGTAGGGAAGAGAATGCAAGACAATGGAAATTGCACTGGCTGTCTTGCACCAGGAACAGTACCTGGGACATGGCCAGTGATCCGTGAATATTTGCTGCGGAGATGAATGGAAAGCAGAGAACCAGAGGCTGTGTGCTCAGAAGCTGGAGTGACATTGTGTCCTGGGATTCACTTTCCTCACAAAATTAGAAGGGTGTGTCTGAGCTGGGGTGCTGGGATGTATTGTCAGCAGAGCTCCCGTCTCTGTAAATGTCCAGGGAAATGACAGTGCAGGTAGCCATTTGCGTCAGGGAGGGGTAATTTTAGGCTGAGAAAAGACAGCCAGGAAAGCAGGGAGGATTGAGATTGGAGAGAACTAAAAAAAAAAAAAAAAATTTCAAGAAAAGGGGAAAAAATGACACAATAATCTATTGCACCTAGAAATATTCACAGCTTATCTCAGGATGAACTTCCTGTGAGCTGGTTGTGCTACAAGGGGACGGAGCATGTGGCACTGCTTGGATATTATTTTTCCCTCCTGAGTGGACAGAGGCTCTGTGCTCACACCTCAGCCCACAGGCTGCTCCCATGTCCTCTAACTGCTGTAATAAACCAGCCTCTAGAAGGCTCTCTTCCCCTCTCTCTCCTTTCCCCTGGGAACTCCTGCTTGTCCTTCAGGTCTGAGTAAAACATAACTTCTCCTAGGAAGGTTTCTTGAACTCTAATACACAATCAGCCCCCACCCCCAGAAGTCTTCCTAATACACCTGACTTCTATTCTTAGCCTTATAACTAACGCTTACAACACGCATTTAGGGTTTTTAACTCATCTGTGAACAAACAGTTGAGGGAGATTTGTCTTGCCCAATATTTTAGGCACCATGCTGTTTCACATTCTCTCTCTCTCCCCGCCGCCCTCCACCAAACCACCTGTGCCCATACCCCATCTGTCTCCCTTACTGAACCCCTCCACCCTTTCACCTATTCCCTCCGGTAACTGTTATCTTTTTTTTTTATCAAGTTCAAATTTTTATTTCTTCTAAGGCATGATGTTTTTTAAAGGTGCATACTTAGATAATTTTTTTTCAATGTAAGCCACCGTAAATGGGATACTAAAGAATCACAAAATAATATTGATGATTTTAACTCTAAAGTTAATTTGCTTTCACTTTTTCTTAATCCATGAGACAATTAGTTTTTTTTTTTAAATTAGGTTTTCTTCATCAATGAGATAGCTAATTAGTATCAGAGTGCTAATTGTTATTTTACCCAAAATGTTTAAAAAATAAGCTTCAGGTCACCTTTGTAGGCCCATCTCCTTGAGTAAGGTAATGGTGGTTCCTGTTGAGCACTTGAAGTACAGACAGAAGCCTCCACCATAACTTTCCAGGAGTGATTTCAGCTTTCTGATTGGGGGCAGGTCTTCCTCACCAGGTAGCTTTTCTCACCTGCAATATTGGATCCTGCCCACCAGGTGTCACCCTCTCACCAACATCGGAAAACTTTCTTTTCAGAACCTCCAGTCTCTGCTGGGTGGCAAGATGGACCGTTCTAGCCTCTACCTGGTAGGGGAGCCAGAGGATGACAGTGCAGCTAGCAGGTAAGAATGGGCAAATAGTTTGGGGGTAAACTCAGAGATTGGCCAGTGAAACTCTAAGTGTAACTCCTTTCTGCCTCAGCAGCATGGCCCAGAGTATGGGCCCTATAAGAGAATTTGAGGTTGCTATCTGTGCCTTGGGTGCTACCTTAGGACCTTTGCCCTGTGTGATTAGGCTCTGAGGTGTGGGATTGCTGGAAGAGATAGAGGTGGGAGATTAGATTCCTCAGTTCCTTGTCTGTCTAATATCTTGACATGAGAGCTTCTCTAAATCAGCTAAAAAGTCTATCAAAGACTCAGAGACAAGGATATCACCCCCTCCCCCAATGAGGCCCATGACCTGTCATCCTGCATAGATAAATTGCTTAGCTTAGAGGGTCTTTGATGAGACCCTCTAGCTAGCTTCTTTATTCAGAGCTCCACGGTGGGGCCTCAGCAGGTCTTTTAACCCCTGGAAATTTTATATAAAATTACAGCTTTCATCAGCTTCTCAGAGAGGTCTTTCTACCTAAAAGATTAAAAAGCACTGCTCTTGCAGGGGAATGGTCCTTTAATTCAAGGGAATGGAAAGCTGTCCTTTAGTTCTACAAAGGACAGCTGCGGAGCCCCCAACGCTCAGCCCTTGAAGACTCATTACTGGTTGAGGTGTTTGGCACCCCAGTCTCCAGTCTCAGGAGGCCTTAAATATCTTTTTTTTTTAAGATTTATTTATGTATGCATACAAGAACTGGGGTACAGGCCAGAGGTGTGGGGGGGGGCAGTGAGAGGATTCACCAGAGATAGAGCGGGGAACAGAACAGGCAGACTGAAGAAATACACTGCTGAGGGGAGCAGCAGGTGAGTCAGGAAAGGTCTGCTGTGCCATGTGGGTAGTTCCCTGGCTGGGGTTCGAACTCGTGCTGCAGTGGCTGCGGACAGCTTCATAGATTTTGTCTTAACTCCTTGCGCCACCAGGGAGGCCCGGCCTTAAATATCTTTAAGCCAGGATGGGACAGGCCCCGTTGTTGGTCTTCTTTGCCCTTTCTCTGTCTCTGGTTCCCTCGCAGGCCAGCCAAGGCCCGGCTCCAAAGTGCCCTCAGTGTGGAAGACGTAGGTGCCCCCAGCCTGGCTCGCACGGTGGGCCGTGTGGTGGAGGTGTTCCCAGACGGCACAAGCCAGCTGCAGCTACAGTGCTCCCCAGAGGGTACTTTCGGCTTCTGTGTGGCCTCCGGGAATGGGCGCCGGGACTCAGGTATGCCCCCTTCCCTTTCTGGGTTCCACAGCCCTGGGGTCACAGCAAACCACAGAGAAGACTTTTGGGTGTGGTTCCAAGGCTTTATTCTGATCTTTGGCTGAGAGGTGGAGCGCTGAATTCAGCAAGCCTCTCTGTAAAATGACTGGAATTCTCCCCCCTCAGGGGCTCTTTCTGAAGAGTCCAGGTGGGAGGCTGTGGAGGGGTAGAACTGGCAGGCTTCACGCCCCGTCCTGCTACCGTCTGCTGACATCTAGAAATCAGAGTCTTAAAGGCCATTTTTTCACTGGTGAGCCAGAGGGAGGCTGTTTGTGCTTGCCGGGCTTGGGATCCCTTTGATGTGGCTGCTGTGTTTAAACGGTTCCCTCCTCCAGCTGCCGAGTGTTTGGGCATGTGGCGTGTGCCTGCATGTCTGTGGCCCAGGTCCCTCCTGAGGGTTATGTCACATGGTTCCTGGCTCCAGGCCCCTGGCTGGGCTGCCCACTGGTCTTCATCCCACACAGGCTGGGTCAGGTTGGGGCTCTGGACGGCTCTGCACTGGGCCTGTTCTCAGCCCTGCGTTGTGAGCCCTTCAGGGCAAAATGACTTGCCCAGACCTTTGCCAAGGTCTGTGGTCCAGAATCCCATTCAGGGCATGAGGTCCTGAAAAGTATTTCCTTGAGTAAGGAAGAAGGCAGTATGCTGGGGTGGGGGAGGGGGGAGGAAGAAAGGAGAGGGGGGAGGAAAAAAGGAGGGACATGTGCAGACCCCATCTCAGACCCTGCCTTGGCTGGGCTCTGCAGAGGAAATGTTTAAGCCTGTGCTTTATCTCCTGGGTCAAAGTTATTTTTTTTAAAGATTTATTTTTAATTTATACAATAGCTGGGGTACAGGCCAGAGGAGCAGGAGGGTGAGAGGATTCACCAGAGACAGAGCGGGGAGCAGTACAGGCAGACGGACAGAAAACACTGCTGAGGGGAGCAGCGGACGAGATAGGAGAGGTCTGACGCGCCATGTGGGTATCTCCCTCGCTGGCCGGGAATCAAACCTGCACTGCAGAGGCTGCGGACAGATTCACAGTGCTGCGCTTAACCCACTGCGCCACTGGGGATGCCTGGGTCAAAGTTATTTAACCTGGAAAAAAACACCTGCCTGCTGGTGCTTTTGCTGATGTCATGTCTGCTCCATCATTGGTTGTTTCGCCAGCTGCATACAGCACACCTACTGGGTGTCCTCGATGCTGGGGTCACGGCTGTAAATGACCAGACACAATTCCCATCCAAAGAGCCCACCTTCCAGGAGGCAGACAGCCTGCACCTACCTAAAATGTACATTTTATTTTATGTGTTATATATGTCAAGTGAAATCACTAAGACAGACAGATATAGATAAAGCAGGGGAAGGACTTGAGAGTGGCTAGTCGGGGTGCTGTTCGAGTCCCTACAGCGGACACGTGGAATGAGGGCCATCCCAGGCAGCACAGCTGCAAGTACAGAAGCCTGAGGGGTGGAGAGGGGTGCAGCCTTGGGAGAAACTGCTGGGAGGTCAGGCAGGCGGGCAGAGCGGCCATGGCAGGGACAGAGGGGTGAGCTGGCTTTCACCTCAGTGGGGTAGAGAGCCACCCAGGCCAGGGCAGCTGGGTGACACGCTGATTTCCCTGTCAACCGTGCCACTAGCTGCTGCGTTGAGAATAGACCCTAGTGGGATGAAGTTGGAAGCAAGGAGACCAGCTGTTGAGACCATCCAGATGAGCAGTGATGGTGGTGACAGGCGTGGGATGGTTATGGAGATGGTGAGAAAGTGGTTGCATTGGCGTTGACCTGAAGGTAGTTTTAATTTTATTTTGTTGATGGATTTGACGTGAGTGTGAGAGGAATAGGGGCCAGAGTTCTCGGGGCCTCGGGAGGGGATGATGTCTGCCCTCACAGGGAGGTGGCACTTGGGAACATTCATGTCAGCTGACAGTCATCAGAGCTCTGCAGGCTGTAGGCCATGGCCCCTCTCCTATGGCTTTCCCTCTCTCTTTGGGACAAGGGACACAGGCCTCCCAGAAAGCAGGGTGGGGTACTTAGGCCACATGCCCCTGCTGGCTGTGTGATCTTGAGCAGGATAATTGCCCCCTTTGGGCCTCAAGTCCTTAATCTGTCAAATGAAGATAAGAAAATCTATCTGAAAAACTCAGAAAGGAAGTGCCTAGCACTTTCTTCCTGTCCTTCAGAAAGAGAATGTGTATTGGGGGAGCAGAACCCAGGTGGGCTGTTGGCGCTCCCCATTCATCTGTCAGTATGAGCCCACGTGTCACGGAGCACTGTGCTGGGGTCTTGCGGAGGTGGTGGGGGCACTGCCATGGAGTTCAGTCTGTAATGACTCTCGGTCCACCCCACCCTGCTCCACAGGGCACTGGTCACCTGGAATGTCACCTGTTCTCCTGTCCTGTGGTAGCACCCAATGTGGTTGGCCTGGTGCCTTCTTGTTACAGACCATATATAGCCAGGGTCACCTCTCCCCAGCCTCAGAGCTGGGACTGGTGTGTGCCCCCTGCTAAAATGTCACCACCCTGGTGTTAACTTGCTGGCTGTCACATCGAGTCTCTCCAAGCATGTGAGCATAGCTGCCTTGGCTTTCAGCTTCCATTGGATACAGCCTAGAGAGCATACATCTGTACTAAAGGCCATTCCCTGCCAATAATAGCAGACACTCCCAGTTTTGTCCTGACTGAGCTGCAGAGACTCCCCAGAGTCTTCCCCAGTGGCAGACATGACATCAGGGCCTGTCGCACTCTGGCAGCAATTTTGGGTTTTTTTCATCACTCTCACCTGTGTGGCCTGCAGTACAGCACCTGTTTCTTGGGCTCCTCCCTCCCTTCCTTACCTGACCTCTCCCTCCCTACCCAGGGCAGGACACCCAGATGGAAGGAAGTAAAAGTGTAAAGCTGAGAGAAAAGCCGAAGGCAGGCCAGACACCCCTTGTCTCGAGGGAGGCAGCCTTGCAGGAGAGGCTCAGCATGGCCAAGCAGCAGGAAGGCAGTTCCCCAACTTGGCCCAGAAGAGGGAATGTGGCAAAAGATTGTTTGCTAAGCCCGGAGTTGCAAGCTTTCAAGTGCCTTGAAGGCAACATCTATGCACTTTTAAAACCACATATTAGAGGGTGGCCTTTGAAAAACTTGACTTCTGTTGGGGTCTTGGAGATGACCTCCCACTAGTCCAAGATGCGTGAAATGGTTTCCAGCTGGAGATTGAGGCACCAGACCGGATGTCATATCGGGTACTGTGTTAGAAAGCAGATTCCAGGAAGAGAGAGTGGGGAGTAACGTGTGGGCAGCTGCTTAATGTTGAACTAGGAGCCAGGGGAGGCCAAACAGGAAAGGGCAGAATGCTCCAGACAGCACCAAGCTACCCCAGGGCATTCAGCTGGGCTTGTCAGCTGCACCATGCCCACACCCTGCAGTCTCCAACAAAGTGGCTTGTGCTCTCAGACACCAGGGTTCCCTCCGCAAGGTGTGGGGGAGGTAGGAGGGTCCAGTTTTCCCTGGAAGAGCCTGCACCTCCTTTAAATGCAGTAGGGCATATTAAAGGAAGAGACAGAGAAATTAAATTATACTGTGGAGGCAGGCACGCTCTATGTGTGAAGCCAGTCGTGGTTGTGAGACAGAACAATGAGTGAGAGAGAGAGAGAGAGAGAGAGAGAGAGAGAGAGAAAACATAGAGTGCCTGGAGGAGCCCTTCACTCCCTGCCCCAAACAGCACCACGTCCTCAGCATTCCTCCAAACGCATGTCTCTGATTAGGACTTCACTTACTAAACTGCTGTTTTCCTTTGCAGGGTTCTACGTGCAGGAGATGGCTGATGGGAACACAGCCAAGCTGTACTCGGGGCTGCTGGGAGTGGGGGATGAGATCCTGGAGGTGAATGGGGCCAAGGTGGCAGGACTGGGCTTGGCCCACATTAAGGAGCTCCTGGCCCATGCAAAGAGCTTGTCGCTCCGAGTGCTGAGGCAGAGGCCTGTCCCACGGTGACCCAGAGCTTTGGCTGTCACTGTAAAGCTCTCAGAAGCCCTGAACCGGCCGGTGGGGGTGGCTGGGAATGTACTAGACAAAGCTGCTTTGTCAACTGAAAAGGAAGATTGCAGTGGCATGTAACCCCTTGGATTTGGCAGTGCATCTGTGACTGGCACTCTAGGGAGAGGGAGGGAGCCTGTTGTTTCTTTTGTTTAAGGCTGTTAATTTATGCAGAACTGGGGAAAGAAAATACAGAGTTCCTCTAGGTCCAAGGTGTCTTCCTGCACCTTGTGGGCAGGCAGTGGGTCCTTCGATTGGTCCTAAGAGTCGCCTGGCCCCAGGTCCCAATCTCACCTTGTCAAGGGCTCCTCCAGGCTCGCACATTCCAGAACCAAAGAAAGCGCTGGGCCGTCTTGGCCTTGAGCTGCCTTTTCCAGTCTTGTTTCTCCAGCTCCCATCCGTCACCTTTGCTGTTTACCCAGAAATGAACAAGATGGCCTGGAGGAGCAGCTTTACCACACTTGACCTTGGAGTCCAAATCTGAAACTGGGGCATGTGCCCTGATGAAAAAGCTTTCTGCCCTTCTGGATGTGACAGCATCTGGAAATGTGATCTGTTGGCCAGAATATTAGGAATTTGTGATATATAAAGTTGAGAAAAGATAAACCAAGACCAATTGCAGGGACGCTATTGCAGCCACGATCAGGCCAGTGGGATGTGGGGACAGGCCAGGCCAGCCCCCGCCCCCACCTCTGCCTCTGCCCAGAGTGGCTGCTGCAGCCTGGCAGGGGGCCTCTGTCTTTTCTACTGTTGAGTTTGGACACAGGGCGGCAGCTGGTGCCAGGCTGTCCACGGGCACTGCTCTCTGCCCAGACTCCCCTGTGGCAACTATGGGTGGGCCCGCGGGCAGGAGCATGGGTGGTCCTGCCTGGCACTTCCTGCTGTAGCCTGAACACTGCCCACAGGATCAAGACTTTCTGGAACGGCCATGTGTTACTCTTAAATTATTAAAAAGGCAAGCTGAAGCTTCTCCCACTCTGAGTTGCTAAATTCTGGGCTGCACACTTACTTGACCTTCACTGCCTGAGGTTGGGGAGGGGAAGGAAAATTGTTTGGGCCTGGTCGAGGGGAGCTCTGGAGAGACCCTGGGTTGAAGCCACAGCCAGGGTAGGTGCAGAAGCCTGCAGAGGCAGCCCTAGGACTGGAAGATGACCCTGGGCAAGATACAATTATGAGTAGGAGACAGAATGGAGCTAAGGGTAGGAGGGTAGGTAGAGTGGGCAGCTCAGGGTTGTCCTAGAACTTGATCCGGTGCAGGACGAAACTCATCCTTACTGACCTGGAGGCGGGGAGCTCCTAGAACTACCATCCACCCCTTGCACAACAGGATGAAAGGGCTGGGGTCACCTGGGGTGGAAGATAGAAGAGGAACGGGGAGGCTCTATCTGGTGGGCAGAAGGGCCAGTGAAACAAGTGCTTGGGCTGCAGGGAGTGAACATGGTATCCCCAGGGCCCCCAAAACATAGGAATGGCCCCATAGCAGGAAATGGTGGTGGCTCCTGTACCCCACTTCCTAACCTTTAGGTCAGGAAACTGGAGAAACTTCATGTTGAAAAGAGCTTCTATTTGTAGAAGCCTCCCTCCCTTCTCCCCCAACCCCTGCCACATACATTTTGTCTGTTGGTGAGGGCAGCC